AAAAGGATGTCGCCCAGACATCCTTTCGAAGTTATGCATTTTGCTTTTGCATAAGATGCAAAAACGGATAAAAACAGACAAGTTTTACGAGGCTGCTCTTTCTCTAAAGAAAAAAATAAATAAATAAAAAACAGTAGTTAATGTGCACTCTGTGCTCGAACTTTTGACACAAGATTGTTAAAATTTGAATTTATAACACTGATACAGAGCCTCAAAGTATTTTCCATATTGTCATCTGTTAGTCTCGTGCGTATTTTAGTTTTCTTTATTTTCATAAGAATGCAGAGGTGTGGCGGAACAAAAACTCTCGTCTGACTGGATAGGCACCACATTCTGATCCCCTCCGTAAGCCGGGCTAAAACCCATCGCGGGCTGCATCCGGCTACTATTTCACCAAGTTATGTGACGCCTTCATCGCCGTTAAGACAAGTGTTATCCGCGAAAAAGCTATTTTTTTATTACGCGTTTTTGCTGTGCAGCGCTGGAGCAGCAAGAGGTCATCTGTATGCGTGTGCTTTCGCAAGCGAGTGGACTTTGTCACCCACCTCCATCTTAGCCACCAGGAAAGCTGGGGAGCTGAAATTTTGGGTATATGTTCCAAATTCGTGTGTCACCCTCCCGCTAAAATTTTTGTTCATACGCACCTAGACCCCTCGTACGGACCTTCGAAAAAAAATATGCAAATTTCTTCAGCGGGAAACAATTTCAGGAACCAGAAAGCTCAAATTTTGTAGGGATATTTGATGTGCTTGTGTGAACTGAAGATTTCAAATTCAACTGTCGTTTTGCAGCTCGTAACTGCGCAGCTAATTCTTGCATTTGGTACTGTGTTATCTCGAAAACTTACCGTGAAACAGAGGCTGATTGTCAGCATGTTTGCTGCCCACATGGGAAATCGTATACCTAAAATGAGTACCGATTTGCACTCGCGCCACGACTTAGGGCACCTCAAAGATATTTGTAGCGAAGTGGATATTTTGCTTACTGGATAAGCTGAAAGGCTGAAAATTCGCTGAGATATTCTGATTTCTGCTTAATTCTGCTCGGAGGTGGAATTCCCTACAGGTGAACATGAGAAACACTCTACTTTAACGAAAAGTCAGAAACGAATGCGTTTTGCAGCGAACGGTCGCACTCATCCAAATAAGTAATGAACACTTAGTTCATTTACATGTCTGGGTTTTTTGACGAACGATCGCTCTAGCAACATTTTCATTTTTTAATGAAGAATTGAAATTTTTTGCATTTTCAAAAATTCGCTTTTTTCGTATTTTTTTAAAGCGAGCATTTACCGAAAAAACGATCGGGTTTCATACAAAAAACTGATAATCATGTACCTGGTAGTCCATGCGGCCCTATAATGCAACACCTCCATCCCAATCTACGCTGTTTCCCTTGTATGCCGGAAGAGGTCATACCAATATCAGCCCAAGGATCATTACTGTTATCAGCGACCTGCGAGTTATTGCAAAAACGCATGAGTGCACCGGCAAGCCTGATGCGTTCCAGTCTGGGTTATGAGTTATGTGGTGTTGTATTGCAATTATGTAAATACATCTCATTATATAAAAGCATAAATTTCCATCAAAATGTCGTTTACGTTCGTCTCGGTCTGAAGTAAACGACACTATAATGGAGATTTACCACTGCTTTTGGTACGATGCTACTGCTGCTTCTGTTCATCACGTCTAATCAGTCAGTTTTCGTTTATGCGGACGGTGTTTCGTGGATGAAACTTCTTTTGAAAAAAAAAAAAAAAGTATGATTCGGGAGTACATCGAACCATTCGTCTTCGTATTCGCACCTAACGTGCTCGAAAATGTTGATCTGTGCACTTCTTCTTTTGCATATTTGCCTTTCAACTCAAGATACACTTTTCCTACTCATCCGTCTTCCCGTGGGCAGTATGTAACTTTTTTTTCTCGGCCGCTCCTCGGCCAATTTTTCGCGAGTTTTTTGCCCAAGACAGAAATGCAATATGCTATAACATACCAGGTTAAACAAGTAAACTTTTTATTAGCGCTGGCCAAAGAAGAAGGAACCTTCGGGTCTCGGAGATGCATCAAAGCAGAAGCGGGACCGGAACTTGGCAACGATGCTGCAATGGTACCCATTTGGGCTCGAAACGGTGAGCAATGCGCCTGGGTATGTCGGGCACGTTTCGCTTCCGCACCTTCCGCAATCAGGTATTCATCGTAGGGCCTTTTCAGTGCAACACCACAAGCCATCACGAGCAGCAGAAGCAGCAGCAGCAGCGACCTGCAATTTCAAATATCCAACATTACAATGATTAATTTTTCGCGAAAAATTTACTTAAATACGATTTTTTTAAGAGCTTCAAAACCAAAAAAAATTGGTACAACCAAAAAAAAAAAAAAATCAAAGACAAAACGGTGAAATTTTGCATGCCCAAAACGGTGGCCCCTATCTTATTCAGGAAAATAGCCCCACCACCAAAATTTACAAATTTCAACAGCCGAAAGTCAAAAAATACAGCACTGGACAAAAAAATCGAAAAAAAATTTTCCCACTATATACTTGAGGAATGATGTTATCGGCTGGTCTCATCGTGTTCGGCTAGCTCAGTACACCAACAAACTTTTATTAACAAAAGAAAATTTACGTATTTTTAGTTTTTTTTGTTAATTTTTTGATAAAAAAACACTAAATACGCAAGAATTCTCTACGATTTTCTCAAAATCCACAAGGAACTCTCAACAACCTCATACACCCCAATCAGTACATCAAACACATCAGAACATGACAAGTCCAGGGCGGAGCCGCGGCGTGGCCCCGCCCACGCCACTGTCGTCTCACCGGTCGAAACTGCCTTTTACACGCAGATTATGTGGCGGGTGCTTGCCTTTCCGATCACTGCGATCAAACTATGAATATTTTAAGTCAGGAAAATCGACCCCC